TAAATCTGCTTAATATTATTGTAAATATAAAATAGAAGGAAGAATGAAGCTGTCTTTTTGCTAGTATCAAAAAAAAGGAAAATGATACTTACGAGTAAACATGGTGAGAAACCAAGGGATGGCATAGAGCTATGAACGGAAAAAGGAAGGGGCACAGGGTTTGGAAAAAGAGAAAACAAAGAGGATAATTACAATGATTATCAATAAAATGAATGGCAAAAAAAAGTTCTAGGTTTTGGTCTACTCTGTTGATTAAAATAAAAGAGAATGTAGGTAATTACAGTTACCATAAATACTCTACTACATAATGGTATCCATCTGTATCACAACTGTGGATGACCCTTTGCCAAGGACTATTCACAGAATGTCTTCATTTCATCAAAGCACATACTCGAGACCAAGGCTAATCCAAATGCAATACTGGTAGGCTAATTCAAGGGTATCCTTTCCAGGTTGTACAAAAATATTGCTGAGATTTTAAAGGTCCTTGTGATAGTTAACCTTATGTGTTAAACTGGCTGGATCTGGGGATACCCAGATGTCTGGTTAAACATTATTTTGGTTGTGTCTGTGAGGGTGTTTCCAGATAAGATTAGCAAGGTGGATAGGCATCGCCCACTCCGCTGAGGGCCTGACAAGAACAAAAGTGGAGGAAAGAGGAATCTGCACCTGTTCCGCCTCACTGCTTGAGCTGCAATCTCTCGTCTCAGCTTCCCTTGCGCTTGACGGGGATTTATCCACAAGTTCCCCTGGTTCTCAAGCCTCTGGACCAGGGATGACCAAGGCCACTGGAGTCTGAATTAGAAAAGTGGCTTTTCTGGGTCCCCAGCCTGCAGACAGCGGACTGAGATCTCTCAGCCTCCGTAACTGTGTGAGCCAATTCCCCATAATAAATCTCCTTTATCTGTATCTATATATCTCCTCTTGGTCTTGTTTCTCTAAAAAACCCACATACAGTACTCATAAGTGTTGAGGTACTTGTAACTATTTTTTAAAAGTCAGTAAGATGATATTTTAAAAACGTCCAAAGTGTCTCATTAAAAGGTACTATGAAGCGTGAGCTCTTTGTTACCATTTCATCAATTAATAGGATGCATAATAACAGACTCAAGGTAACAAAATCTAGTATTACCATTATTAGTAATGATTTGGTTCTTTGGCTGAGTGACAAATTTATTTTCCCAAATTTACTGCCTAGAAATGAAAAATACACATACAGTATATATGTATGTGTATACACACTTCCAATTAATTTTGTGAGATTTTAGAAGTGACAAATTGTTCCTAAGTTATAAAAGTAGAGTAAAATCTCCTTTGTCAATAGTAAGTACCAAAAATCAACAATAATTTATAGAAAAATCTGAAAAAGCACTAATCTTATTTTCCTTGCTAAGTCAATACAGGCTACTGCTTATTTTGAGACAGGATCTCATTCTTTTTGCCCAGGCTAAAGTGCAGTGGCATCATCATAGGTCACTGTAACCTCCAGCTCCTGGGCTCTAGCGATCTTCCTGCCTCAGCCTCCCAAGTAGCTGGGACTACAGGCACATGTCACTACACCCAGCTAATGTTTTAATTTTTTTGGTAGAGATGGGGTCTCACTACGTTGCTTAGGCTGGTCTCCAACTCATGGCCTTAACCCACCCTCCCACCTCAGCTTCCCAAAGTGCTAGGATTACAGGCATGAGCCACAGTGCCCTGCCCAGGCTACTATTAAATGAAGACTTTTGTACTACTTACAGAGTTTAAATAAATATGCTTTCAGCACCTATCAATTATAAATGTATGAGTAGAGATGCATCTTGTGTTTGCATTGCACAATTGACTATTTATACTATTAAAACGCCAGTCAAGAACTATATAATTACATGGTACATTAAAAATCTAAGTACTGTATGTGAGAGAAAGCCCACTGATCTCCACAACAGCATGAGTTACACAGGCTGACATCAGACAGTTCTTCGCAGGGACATCACAAACGGGAAGAGGGGAGAGTACAAAGGTACTGTAGCAAGTATGGGTTGCAGCAAATAAAATACAACAAAATATAAACTCTTCATTCTGGTTCAAATTTAAAAATAAAGCAGAGATTAGTTACATCACTATTATTCAACATATCTTTCTTTTAAGGCCATGACATCAATTACATTACCTGCTACCCTTTTGATCAAAGCCAATTGGTTTTCATTAAAAATCTCTCTCAAATTGTTTTAACAACTAGCTAAAAGTACCTTCCCTCCATTCTACTCTCTGTAATTAGCTTCATCATGATCTATGGAGGAATTTTCCTTCTATAGAGGAATAACAGGAACCAGATTCACCCTCCCACCTGAGATGCCTCAAAATCAGACGGACTATATGAAATAACAATTTGCAGATCTTGGATATCAAGCAGAACAAAGAGTAATGCCAAGATAGGAGAAACAAATGAACCCTACAATTGATTGCCCCCTTACTGTGTACAAATAAGTTCCAGGCCACTGACAGAGAAGGAGAACCTAGACAGACCGCGGTGGTTGTCATTAGCTGAACAGACAGAGCTGGGAACCCGGACAGGTCAACACGGCTAGAATTGTCAGGATATGTAATAGTCTAATACTAGACAGGAGAGAGCTGCGGAGAAAAAGCTCCAGAAATCTGCAGAGTGCCCCTCATATCTGTGCTCAGTACTAAAGAAGGCATGTATGTGAGAAAACCACAATAAGTAGGGCAAGAATCACTTGAAATAATCAGAAGAAAAAATTGACGGGCTCATAAAATGTTAAGAATAGTTCATTTTTTCCACTAGCCAGAATGGGGGAAAAAAAAAAAAAAACCAAAAAACAAAAACACCTGTAGT